GCCTTACTTAGGAAGTTATATCAAAACAACCTTAAACACTAAGACTTCTTGTAAGAAGGTGCATTCCTCTTGAGACACTTGATGATGATGTCCATGTAGGCCCTAAGGAATCTGTCCCGGAACATAGCACTCCTTTCTGTAGGTGGTAGCGGTGAACACTATATTATTCATTCACTGTTCTTTGGCCATGGCTATTGGGTGTATGTATGTATGTATGTATGTATGTATGTATATAGAGAGCCAATTTGTTGTAATGGTTAAGGTATCAGGCTAGAAACCAGGAGACTGAGTTCTACTCCCACCTTAGGCACAAAGCCAGCTGGATGATCTTGGACCAGTCATTTTCTCTCAGCCCCAGGAAGGAGGCAATGGCAAACCACTTCTGAAAAACTTTGCCAAGAAAATTACAGGGACTTGTCCAGGCAATCTTCAACAATTGGACACAACTGGACAGAAGGGAAAAAACTTACCACATTTATATAGCTGCCCTTCTCACATATGTGACTTTCTAGATTATTTTATAAAACTCAAAGCCTTTAATCAGCATATTAATCTTCATAAATAACAATCTACTTTTTAAAAAATAGCTCTGTGTTTTTCTTTGGAGTCTGGTTGTGCATAACTGCACGAACACCTGCTGCGCTTGATCATAAACCCTTTATCTCCTCTTTCCTGCCCAGGTGATGGCTATAGCCACCTTGGCAGCCGCTTACAACAACCAACAGATCTTCAAAGGTGTGGTGAAGATTCGAAAAGGACAAGCAGTCACATTGATGATGGATGCTACTAACATACATGCTGTCAAAACCATCATGAACCAATATATGGAAGAGGTGAGTTGGGAGAGCCTTGATATTCAGTTCCTGATGTAAATCCCATGTGGGGAATGCTCCCATGTGACTCCTCTCCTGCGTGAGCTGCATTGGCTTCCGGTGGACTTCCGGGTGCGCTTCAAGGTGTTGGTGATCACCTTCAAAGCGCTCCATGGCTTAGGGCCAGGGTACTTACGGGACCGCCTTCTGCCACCAATAGCCTCCCACCGGCCGGTTCGCTCCCACAGAGAGGGCCTCCTCAGGGTGCCGTCGGCCAGACAATGCCGGCTGGCGACCCCCAGGAGGAGAGCCTTCTCTGTGGTGGCACCTACCCTATGGAACAATCTACCCCCAGAGATACGAGTGATCTCCAACCTTCGGATCTTTCGTCGGGCCCTAAAAACTTATTTTTTTCAGTTAGCCGGTCTGTCTTGATTTTAGGGTTAGTTTTAAAATTTTAATATTGATTTTAATTGACAAGTTTTAAATTATGGGCCAAATTTATGAATTATTATAACTTTATTTTTAACTGTGATGTTTGTATAGATGTTTTTATCTTGGCTGTTCACCGCCCTGAGTCCGAAAGGAGAAGGGCGGTATAGAAATTTGAATAATAAATAAATAAATGCCTTTTAGTGGGAAAACATTGTTGAGTTAGCATGAATTCCTGTACAGATATATGGCAGTCACCAGCATTTGCCTTTTCACTTTGAAACTCTGTAAAGTGGGAGAGCAAATTTTGCACAGCATGATGTAAAGCTTCGGAGGTTGGATTTAGTCTAGGATAATCTGGCTTTGATATCCAGGAGATGGCTTTGCTTCAAAAACATGCTAAGACTGAATCTAGGGTAGGGGAAAATAACTCAACATGGTTGTAAATGGAAATTTGAGCATTTGCAGTTGCCGTCATTAAGCACATCATTGCAGATAATTAAGGAGTCATGTAGTCGCCATTATTGTGACCTCCTGCCAGCTTCCTCACCGTCTTTGCTTGTAAGAAGCTGGCAAAGATTGCAAATGGCAATTATGTGACTGCAGGGACTCTGCTACCAACATAAGTATGAAGATGGCTAAGAACCACCATTTGTTTAGCCCCATTATATGTTTGAATAGTGCTGACAAGTAGTCATTAAGCAAGGACCATCTATATATTCTATATATTTGTTGCTATGAATTCCTTCAAAAGAAAAACTAAAATGTGTAATATTTCAACATGTAGAGCACAAGGGATTTGGAAAAGTCATCGAGCAGAAAGGACTGAACTGGTATAATGAAATCCTTTCTCCCATGAATCCCCTCCATGCTATCTGTCCTTTCCTTCCAGATGCGGCTTCTCATATTTTTCACTAGCTAATAAGGAGAGGAAGAGAAAAAAGAAAGGAATGGAAAAGGGTTGCTGGTTTCTCATGGGAATTGTTTGTAAGAAAGAGGGGAGTGACTGTTTCACGGGTGTGTAATGGAAACACAGCAAAAGCTCTGGCTTGACAAAAAACTACAGAGTACCACAAATTCACAGAGCCCTTCTTTATCTAGTAGTGCAATTTCCTTTTCTTCTCTTTAACAAAATTACAGATATGCCAAGCTCATCCTATGGAAACAAAAAATGGGGCTCTAATGATGATCTAAAAAGCCCAAATATAATATTGTATTACAAATTAGATTGTGAGATGGCATCAACTGGCAGAAAGTCAAACAATCCATAAATATCTTTTTAGTAGAAAAGCCACATGGAATCGTTCCATCAATCTGTAATGTGGTATTTGTAATGACTGTATTTGTAACGACTGATGTCTTGCTGAAGTTAATACTTCTTTTAACTTACCGATTAGTCTATTTTATCTGTGATTTCTATTATCTTTCTTTAGCTATGGTATGTTAAATGATTTCTGTCTGTCTCACTAGATCTACCAGAAGGTCCCAAGCACAGACCCTTCCTCTGCCAAAACTCAACAGATCATCAACACTGTCCAATCCATGAGCTCACCCAGTGGTACCCTGGTCTCCCGGACCCATTATTCACCCTTCTATTTTTCCTGCATTATGATTTTAGCTGCCTTGAGCTGGCAGTATCTGAACACTGTTTCAAAAGCAGCAGAGGAATATGTGCACACTGGTGAGAAGTGAGGGCGGAGATCTCTTGTGCTGCATTTGGAAGGGGAATATTTTGAAATGGGAGAACTTTTTGGAGTCCCAGGAATGTAAGGAACAGGACTGTGAATGTTTCACTGCAAGCTGACTAAACTGGAAGCCTTCAGTTAAAAGCATCTGCTGCTGGTTTTGAAGCCTCTAACAGTTTCCCATGGAGACATTTCCTTTTTTTCCCCAGCTAAACTAGCTACAGTCAATTTTGTTTTGAGTCTTACTTAATATTTTCTTTTCTGCGGTTGGCTCTGCATTTGTTTTTGATGTAGGGTGTTTTTTAACTCTGATGTTTCAAAGTGTTTGTGAATTTTGACAGTAAAAAATGTGGTGATAAAACCACTTCTCTATGTCCTGCTGTAATTCAGGCACTGCATTTTCTGTTCAAAAAAACTTCCAAAGCCTTGTACTATGTCTTACGTTGCATTAATTTAGGAATTAACTTTGGAGATAGTTATCTTTATTACATGGTTATTTTTTTCTTTTCCATAAATGTTATTGTGCCTCTTGGAAAAGGTTTCTATATTGTAATATGCAGGGGATTTTGGGAGCCAATAGAGAGGGAAGTTGTATAAATCTGAGATAGGGCAAAACTGGCTCTTCTACAGCTCTTCTTCTTCTACACTCCTGAAGCAGAGATCAGCACTGAGAATCAGAATATTTTTAACATCTTCTGTAGCCTTGGAGAAGTTCTAGTTTGTGTTGCAAAGTAAGGTTGTGAGAATTTTGGAAGGTGCAGGCCAAAACATCCTTCCAATATCTTCACATAGCAGCTTCCTTTTGCAGATTCATCCCAGGTACCTGCCTAAGCAGGTGGCCTGCAATTTTGTTTTGCTGGCTCTCCCATCAGATCTGTTGTCTCCATGCAAACCGTAATGCCACGTCCCAAAGAAGCCCAAGGAGGGAGCTTTAAAAAAGTATCTGTTCAAATGATTTAGAACAGGGAATGTCAAACTCAAGGCCCGTGGGCTGGATCCAGCCTGTGGGGTGCTTAGATCTGGTCCGCGGGGCCGACCTGGAAACAGCAAAGGACTCGCCTGCGGTGCCTCAGCCTATGAAAATGGAGTTCGGGAGGGCCAGGTGCAGCCCTCCGGAGCTCCGTTTTCGCTGGCAGAGGGTTGCAGGAGGCCAATGTAGCCGAAAACTGAGCTCGGGAGTCTGTTTTCGCTGGCAGAGCTCTCAGGCCACCACAGGTGCCCCCGATAAAAGTGACATTGAGCTGGCCACATCCATCCTCCATGAAATAGTTTGACATCTCTGGTTTAGAATGAGATTCATGAGGTTAAATCTCAAAAATGAAGAAATCAATCTAGAAAAGTATATGTCCATGGTAGTAAGGAATAGTTATGAGGCCTGATGTAGAGCTTTCGCAAATTCTGATAATACATCCAAGTTGAGCTCTACTCCTAGTGTCACTGTAACATGTGGATTAAAACCTTGTGACGTGCATAAAGCCATTATTGCTTCAAATCAAATGTTCAAGGTACATAGTGAAGATACTGTAGCACAAGATCCACACACCATCCATTCTCTCTCTCTCTCTCACACACACACACACCCCACATATATAGAGGGAGGGGGGCACAGGTGGGATTCAAGTAATTTAACAACTGGTTCTCTGCCCTAATGATTTCTTCCAACAACCAGTTTGCCAAACTGCTCAGAAAGTTAACAACCGGTTCTCCCAAAGTGGTATGAGCTGGCTGAATCCCACCACTGGAGTTGTGGGGGTGGGAGGGAGGCTTTATATCAAAGCCATTACATTTAATCTCAGCAACCCATATTATCCTCATGAATTCGAATACAGAACCAGAACCTCAAAGATCAATAAAATGTATTGGTGTGTGAAAGAGTCACCTGCTAAAATTTTATCAGTTAGCTATGGCACAACATGCATTGGGTCTATTTTCCAAACTGAAGCAGGCAGTTGTATTGAAGATATGCTATAAAACATACCGACTCAAATGTGTTTTGCCTCCCACTACCCCAATAGAAGAAACCAGAAATAAAATCCTTTCTGTCCACCAGGGGGAAGAATGAACGCATACATTGTAGAAAAGAGAGAGAGACTTTACTAGAGATAGGAATTGGAAGTACACTGATGAAATTCTGGTCATAAGTCTTAAGTGTATAAAATATTCTGCATTTAACAATAACTTTGTATTTGAAGCCAGCAACCAATCACATAAAGCCTATAGGTCAGATTCAATTTTAGGTTGGGTTCATCTAACCCATGGTTTGTTTTAAATAGTTTGTTGAAACAGACTGGTCACCTACCTAGGCAAAGCAAACCATTTTATGGCTTCTAATAACAGCAAATCCAGTTCAATCATGTCTAGGCTAGACCCACCGAACTCAGTAAGACTAATGGTAGCAAACTGAAGTTCCTTTAATTTGAGGTTGATTTAGTGTTGAACCATTTTTATAGCCCCTTTACGTGCACAATTTTTATGCTTGCTGCTTATGTGTCCTCATTATTTACAATTATAAAAAATGAAATAATTCATGCGTATGTGCAGGACCAGTTAGTGCAATTGTCCATATAGTTTCAGGAATCAAGCTTAAATGACAGGCACACACAAAACCTCTCTCTTTATGTGTACGCGTGTGTTTCTGCTTCTGCAACTATTTGCATGTGTTTCTGCTTCTGCAACTATTTGCATGTGTGTTCCTGCTTCTGCAACTATTTAACATTCAATTTAATTTAAATTTAACTTGAAATTTCATGGTCCTATAATCTCACCTAGCCAAGTTTATCAAGGAACTGAAGTTCAATGCATAGAGTTACAACAGATTCGGGAGTTTTGTCTGTTTTGACTATTTGGTCAAGTTTCAGAAGGACTCTCCCTCTACTTCTTATCTTTTCACTATTGAGGCATTTATTGACATTGAGAATTTATGAAAAGAAGAATTAGGACTGCCGCTACCATGAGGACATCCTCTTAAAATTTCTTTGAAATATAGGCATAGACCTCAACCATCCATATAGTAAATAAGGGCCTATTTTAGCCTTTCTATTTTCTGAAAGTGAGTGTGTGTGTGAAAAAGAAGAGGGAGGGGGAATCCTCTGTACCACTTTGCACAATAATGTTTACTAAGGATTAAACTCAAAACAATCCAACCCTGAGATTCCATGATCCTACACTCTTATCTGATGGGTGGTGCCATCAATATGTGGAAGGTAAAGTTAAAATACCACTGCAAACTGCAACCTCAACATCTTAATCAGGAGTTGGTTGTTTCTAATCATGCCTTCTGTTGGTGAAATGTACTTTGATTCCTTTAGAGGTATTTCATTTAAAACAGACAGTTTCATCTCAACTTCCTTGCCATTCTGTTTTGCCAGTCATGAAAAATTGCTGAGCGAAAATTAGAAAGCCTCATGCTTTAGACACAAAGAGAGCCTGCTAGAGACATCTGTATTGTATTGTTTTTAAAAAATTTTTTAAAGGCTTAAAAAAAAATCCTGATGTCTAAAATGTCTTAGAGCAAAGGATTGCCACCATGTCTTCTATCTTTATAAGTATGATTATGTGCCATTCAGCTGGCAGGATGATCACAGCTGCTTCCAGTACTGGCTTGTGCGAGGGATACCAGCTACAACCTCAGACTCAATTCCACAGTGATCTTGCCCACGGAGGATTCGGAAATAGCCTAGAAGATATTGAGAGAAAAATATTGCAAAAAATTCTCAATACTAAACAAAATGAAACAAACCTAGCCCAACCGGCTTGTCCCCTAGCCGTGTGTGTGTGTGTGTGTACAAGTATTCTTCAATTTATGACAGTTCACTTAGCAATGGTTCAAAATTACGACACCTCCCCAAAAAATATACTTACAACCTGTTTCCAAAGTTACGTATGTTGCAGCACCACAATGCTGGTTCACCCTTATGGTAGCCTTTAGAGACATTGCAATGTGCCCTCTGCCTATTCCCCCCACTCTTCATTTTACCTCACTGGGTCTCCCTAGGAACTGGCCCTGCTTTGCTAGCCCTCAGGATTATACTTGCTCCTCCCCATCCTGTTTCCAATTGCTTGATTACTTTTCAAAGTAATCTCCACAGTTCCTGAACATGCTGACCCATATAGCAGAAAATGAGCGGCTTCAGGGACAGGAGCGTGAAAGTAGAACGGGTGGCCAATCAATGTAGAGCTGCTTTCCTTTGTCTCATTGGGCTTGCAGTTGGAGGATTTCATTGGGCAATGAGACAAAGGAAATGAGCTCCAGGTTGATTGGTGGTCACCTCAATGCTCCAATACTTGAAGCTGCTCATTCAAACCAGCTCCCCAGCAACAAGCAGAAGGTGCCTGTGTTGCCGGCCAGAGATGCAAGGATGCCAGAAAAGCTGCCATCTTTTACTCAGATGCTGGGGAAGCCGTTTTCCTTGGATCTTGCATTCTTATAGCTTCACCAGATGGCTTCTTTTCTGCCACGTGGATCAACCTGTTCTGAACTCTGGAGATCTTTGAAAGGTAAGTGAGTGATTGGAAATGGGGTGGGAAGAAGCAAGTGTAATCTTTGGGGGGGGCGGGGGCTAGCAAAGCAGGCCCAGTGCCTGTGGAGACCCGGCGGGCAGGATGAGTAGGGGGAAAGCAACTATGGGAACCCCAAGGGGTTGTAAGCGTAGCATGAGATATTTCAGTGGGTGGGTGGGAGGCCTTGGGTAGTCAGAAGTAGGTGGCCTATTCCAGCACTACCCCTCCCCCATAGTCATCCCCACCCTGAGATACCTCATGTGCATTTAACAAACAGCATTCGATCAACAAATGCATTGGGGAAAGCAGGGAGGGATCGCATTCATTTAAGGTGATCCAATTAACGAATCCTCAAGTTACGAATGTAATTGGCAGGCTCTATTACATTTGTAACTCGAGGATTACCTGTACTGATATGCATGACAAAGAACATGATGTCACATGTCAACCAGAAAGGAGCATGTTAGACCTCCAGATGTTACTCAACCACAGCTCCTGGCAGTTCTACAGCAAAGGCATCCCTGAAAGATAATTGACCTCTAAAGCAAGGGTCTCCAACCTTGGCAACTTTAAGACTTGTGGACTTCAACTCCCAGAATTCCTCAGCCAGCTTTCTGGGAGTTGAAGTCCACAAGTCTTAAAGTTGCCAAGGTTGGAGACCCCTGCACTAAAGGAAGAGAGATCACCTACCATTTTCACCCCAGTCTGTGTTCCAGGAATTAGCTATCAACCAGTAAGGTGTGCCATTGTCAACACCCCAGCCAAGAATTCGGATTGCATGGCCACCAACTGATTCACCAGAGACGTGCTGATAGACACCTGCAGGAGAAAAACTGTTAACTATGCCCAAGTATAAACGCTGTGATTTCCCTGTTAAGATCACCACTCAGTTAATATTCTGCTTGGAATTTAAACTTGTGAAGAAACCATAGATATCATGGCTTGTGAGCGTGTCTTGCTTAGCAACTTTATTTGAATCCCAACTTTCACATTTCAGACTAGAGCTGTAGCCGGTGAAGGGCAGCTCAAAAATATATATTTCAGGTGCAGAATGGGCTGCTTCAAAATGGAGCCAATTTAAGCTTGAAAAATTCAGGAATTGTTAAATCTATTCTGAATTCAAAATAATGGATTTTCGTTTCATTTCATATTCCTAGCTTTTACAGAGTCATAGGAATATCATGAAAAGGATTCATGCAGCTAAGAAGGCAAATGCAACTTGGGGATGTGTTGAGGAACAGAGTTAGACTCACAGGAAGTAACTGTCTACTCTACAGATAGTCTTCAACTTACAACCACAATTGAGCAAAAATGTGGCTAAGTGAAACATTTGTTAAATGAATTTTGCCCCATTTTACAACCTTTCTTGCCACAGTTAAATGAATCACTGCAGTTATTAGATTAATAACGCAGCTATTAAGTGAATTTGACTTCCCCATTGACTTTGCTTGTCAGAAGGTCGCAAAGGGAGATCACATGACTCCAGGACACTGCAATCGTCAGAAATATGAGTCAATTGCCAAGAGTGTGACTTTTCATCACATGACCATGGGGATGCTGCAACTATCATAAGTGCAAAAAATAGCCATAAGTCACTTTTTTCAATGCCTTTCTAACTTTGAAGAGTCACTAAATGAACTGTTGTAAATTGGGGACTACCTCTACTTTGCCTTGATTAGGCCCCACGTCAAAAGTGGTCATTGCACCTACAGCCAGTTGCAGCAACACTGCAGTCACATGATCAAAATTCACTTTGAAACTGCCATGAATTTACAACAATTGCAGGGGTTACATGATCGCCATTTGCAACCTCCTCAGCTGGCTCATGACAAACAAAGTCAATGGGAGAAGCCGGATAGATTTAACAATTGCATGATTCACTTAATTGTGATATACTTAATAACCGCTGTGTAAATAATCATAACATTGGGTGCAACTGACTGTCTCACATAACAAAAGTTCCACTCCCAATTATGAGGACTAATCGTTTTGTCCTTCACTGAAGGTCCTCAAACAGAAGACTATTGGACTCATCTGTCCAATAGTCTTAGAATAATTCTGTTCCAAATTATTGGATTAATTAATCTCCCAGATCCATTCCAACTCTAGAATTCTATGAAGGGGAAAATGTGAATTCAACAAATACCTACTAAAGATAAACTTAACACATTCTGAGGACATGATCTAAGAAGAACCTTAACAAAGGTAAGCTGGGCTTCACTCACCAATGACATAATGTTGCTGATATTTCCATTATGATATCTATATCTATATATCTATATCTATATCTATCTATATATAATTTGTATTTCGCTGATAAAGAAATAAGCAAGACGACCAGGTGTCTCGATAGAAAAACACTTAATATATACATATATATACCTGGAACTCGTATTTTTAGAATAGTTTGTAATATATATATGTATATACATACATAATACGCACACATATTTTGAGGTCTTTTCCCAAATCCCACTCTGAATGTCAACTTTGGGAATACTTGAGATCTCAAGCGTATTTTGAAGCTTTAAGTCTTGCAAACATAAGCTAAATTCAAGCAACTTTTTATGCCTGAAACCTTCCAAATATCACATTTAATCAGAAATGATGTCAGTTCTATCAGATCAAACCATTATAATGGAAATCAAAACAAAACCATACAATTGTAATTTACTTAGCTATTCAAGAGTTTAAACAATGAAAATTGCTCTTTTAAAAAAAGATGTCTTTTTAAAGAAGTTTAGGGCCTGGTGGCTCAGCAGACTAAAAGCATTGTGATTAACACCAGCTGTCTGCAATTACTATAAGTTCGAATCTCACTAGGCTCAAGCTTGACTCAGCCTTCCATCCTTTCTAAGGTAGTTAAATTGAGGACCCAGTGTGTGGGGGCAATAAACTGACTTTGTATAAATATACAAAAGTATGAAGGCTATTGCTTAACGCATTGTAAGCCACCCTGAGTCTCCGGAGAAGGGCGGCATATAAATCAAATTAAAAAAAAAAAAAGAAGTTACAGAAAAAAACACTTACCTGATTTGTACATGAGGAAGTCAGAATAAACTGTAAAGGCTGCCTCCACTGGTCCATTTTTGTAAATCTCAGCCATTATTTCTTTCTCATTTCCAGGGACGCTATAGGAAGTTATTCCTGGCCAGGGGGAATGGGAAGTGATCTTTAAGTTAGAAAGTATTCCAATTGCTTATTTCAAAACTTGATGAGTTTTCACCACATTATTTTTATTATGATCCTCTGTTACTCCTGACTATAACTGAGAAGCAATGCATCTGCTGCGTATTCTAACATGCATTCTTTAGTTTCTTTCATTACAAAGATTACAAGCATGTTTCCACAAAATTCAAATATGATGCTAACCGTCATTCAGTGAATCGGAGAAGAACAGGTTTAAAATAATTTATGACAAGAATATAATTTGTCTGATTTAAATTAGTGTATTATGTAAAGTGATCCAAGTTTTCTGAAAGTCAACTGCCACTTAAGAAACCCTGGTTTACCAATTTTGGCAGTGCCATATATGAATCCAGCCTGTAAAGCACATTGTACTTTTTATGCTACAGCTGATTTTTGTAGATATACTGATTTGCAATTTATTTATTAAATTTATATGCCACCCATCTCTGCTACACCAACCTAGGGTGGCAATAGGGAATCTTTAACTTGGCTATAAAATTTTAGCTAGTTATAAACACGTACAGCCCCCCCGTCACGGCTTCACAGCTTTCAGCCTAATAACCATCCATTAAAGCCTTGAGTATATTCCTGGGCAGAGATCTTCAAAAAGTTACAGAACTGTAACAATGTGACAGAAGGGAAATTACTAAGTCCCTGTGGAGGTACTTAAAATAAAAATGTACAAATTATTTTATTTTCTAAGTGTACAAAAGGAGAAATAATTTTAGTCCTGCCTACTTGTGCTATTGAAAAATCAAATGCAACACTTAGCTTGGAAAAGGGTTTACATCCTGGCTGCAGACTTTACTCAAAATATCCATATGCAAGCCTACATGCCAAGCTATGCCTCTTCTCCCCACAACAGAAGATAATTTAATTCTTTGTTTCCTCTTATAAATAATATGTAGCTGCCTGTGTAGCCAACCATAATAATAACATTTCATCCTGATCCTATTGTTTGCATTGCTAATTTTTAAGTTACATTTCTAATCTTTGACTGCATTTGGAAATCTATTGTATCTAAAACAGAATATTAAACTTTTATCATTTCAATATTTTGAACTTAAAAGCCTGTGAGTTTCCTATAAACCAGAATATGCAGTTTAATATACGCATTACCATAATGTTTGTCTTTCTTGTATGAAGGAGAATAACCAGCTTCACATGTTTTGACGCATTCAGGGGTGTCACCACCTTCTCCAGTGCATGGGGGCCGAGTCCCATTGACATGATGTTCACAGGGTGGAATAGAGTATGGTCTACAGCCTATTGGATACAATGCAGAAAAGAATCTTTTAAGAGGCAGTTGGCTAAAGTCCCTAGTCTAAGCTCAAATCAAAATAAATCATACTAAGCTACAGAATTTCACTTTACATGCAAAAATATTTCATTCTGTAGTTCCCTGCACTTGTACATTATAAACCACTAATTCAGATAACAGCTCATCTTGCTTTTCCCTTGAGAACTCCCATTTCTATCACTCATTTTATCTTCACAGTGACCTTTTGGGACCAAATATATTGCAAGAACCTGCCCAAAGTCACCTGTCAGTATCATGGTTGATTGGGAATTTGAACCAGGCTCTCTGCATTCAGTCCAAAATATGAACTAATATGCAGGTAATCCTTAACTTATGAATAACTGAGCCTGGCAACCACAGTTCTAAGTCATGACAGCTGTAAAATGAGTTATCATGCAACTGGCCCAATTTTATGAGCAGTTTGTGATACTCATAAAGCAAATATAACAATCGTAAAGTGAACCCATTGTTCCCTCTGGGCTGGGTTTACTGGAAACCCGAAGTAAATGCCAGGTCCCAGCAAAACTGTCATAAATCACAGTCACATGACCATGAAGTGCTGCAAATAGCTGTAAATGGGGGCTGACTGCTGAACACCCAAAATATGATGTGAGGAAGGGAAGGCACTGTCAGGACTTCAAAACCTGGTCATAACTAGCTTTAGAGGACTCTCTTGTAACTTTGAAAGTCATAAGTTGAGGCTACCTGTATTTCACAGGGATTCCCATGTCCAACCCCCAAGTTGTCTTCCTGCTACTTCCAATTCTTCCATCTGTCATCAAGCTCCCCTTTCTTATTATTCTAGTGAAGATCTTTTGAATAAATCCAGGTTGTGTGTAAATAGAAATAATGATGGAATCCAAGTGAGCAACCTAATTGCAAGGGGAAGTCAAGGGCAATATGCCACTCAAGAGGGATTTTCACCCTTCATTGCTGGTCACGGGCATCTTGCTCAGAAGAAAACTCACCAACATGTGAGTCGTAAAGGCCACCAGACACCAAGCCCTTTTCAGTCCAGTATCTCCATGCTCCTGAAGGATAACCTCCATTACAACTGCAAGAAAATGATGCACAACTATCACAAAAGAACTCTTTAGGGGAAATACATTTTAACTGAGGGTTACAATCTGAAAGACTGAAGAGTCTTTTCACATGATTATTCTTTGTGATACCCAAAGAAGTACTTAACAGAGATGGGAAAGGCAACTTTTTGTTCTACAATGATTTCTCCATAAAGTACTGTACAGCAGGCACCCACTTTTTAAATTTTCTATAGGGCCTGGAAGCATTCCTAAAATAAAAATAATGCTAAAAGTTAAAACTAGAAGGCAAAACAGCTTTCTGCAATGTTTTTAATTAAAGGATTTTTTTTAAGGAAATAGGGAAGAAATTTGACATGCACCAAGTAAAGTGTTCGTGGTGATCTTGTACTCATGATATCATACAGTCTCAGAAGAAAAAAAATCTTTCAAGTTGAGCTTGACTCCTGATTAGTGACTACTTGGCTACCATGAAGTAGAAGACAAATTGTGTTGAGAATAGAACGATCTGAAAATATTAGACATTTCTTTTTACTCTCAGACGACCTTATTCCAGCCATTCTGGAGTGGTCTGAGGGCTTTCTTAGAAATCAATCTTCCAGAACAAAAAGACTTCTGATCTCAACATACTGTATGTGTGTGAACTTTCTGGTGTCATTCCTGAATATGTGAACCTATCTAGCAGGAGAAAAAGCTATTCACAGAAAAGACAATTGACAAGGTAGGAAGTAACTTACCCCATCCCACATTCAAACCCACAGCAAGAGAGCAGATCTTCAGCAGAAATTTCCACATTCACTTTGCCATTAGTATGGACACAAACCCGATCTGACATGGCTTCAACTGCACCAAAAGCCTACAAAAGACAATCCAAAAGTTCTGTCAGTGGCACTGTTGAGATCTGTAGACTGTCCTAACCCCCGGTCCAACCACCACCAAGCAAAAGTATTGTTGCTGCCGCCCCCACTACTACTACCACTCTACTACATCATTCTCTCTTTCTCATTGAAAACTCTTCTGGACTTCTTTGGGGATATGTACACTGATGCTTTATAATGGATAGGTGGTTCCAACACAAGTAGAGTCATAGGGTTGAATAAGAACTCATATATGCATTGTGTTAACTTAAGAGATGATTTCTCCTAATTGTAATTTACTGAGTATGCCACAATAACTAAGATCACATATAAGCCATAATGAACCAGTTCATGCCATGCATAAATTACCGTATTTTTCAGAGTATAAGACACACCTTAGTTTTTGGGGAGGAAAATAAAAAAAAAGCTGATTGGCAGGTGGATCAGCCTCCAGGAATACATCCAATCAGCTGTTCCCAGAGGTGAATTTTAGCAATAGGTTCCTTGGTTGTGAGCTCTGTACCTTGCTTTTTTTTTTTTTTTTGCTTTTTTTCTGCCTCTGAAACTTCCGAAACAGAGTTTCAGAAAAAAAGCCTCTGAAGCTCTGTTTGGGGGATTCTTTTCTGAAGCTTCATTTCTGATGCTTTTTTCAGCCTCTGAAACCTCCATTTGAGAAGCTGGACGGGGCTACATTCGGAGTATAAGACACACCCAGATTTTCACCCTCTTTTTTGGGGGGAAAAGGTACATCTTATACTCAGAAAAATATAGTAGTGCTATGCATGAATTTAGCCAATGTGCATTTTTTTCATGTATTGGAAGCTTCTATTAAAGATGGAGAACTGGGTATGAACTACCAGATCTGCTGAATTCTGGCCTATGGCAAAGGTAATATGGGTATACCACTTCTCTACTTACCCAGCAGGAACCACAAGAGCCTTGGTCTCTGATTTCACGAATGGTTGGGCAGTTTGACCATTGTTGCCTTGAGTCAAAGTTTTGTGGCAAGACCAACTCACCAGCAAATTCAAACCTTTCAAGCAATAGGGAAGAAGTTGAGTGAAACAGAGACTGAACCATGCTCTAATTAAGTAATGTCTTTGTCAGTCAAAGTCTTTGGATTTAATCTCTTATGTCAGAGCTTCAATTTTGCTTCCAGCATGTTGACAAAATTCTAGCATGCATATGATTCAGAGTTCACACTGTATATAAATGGAATCTATTTAATAACTTCAAAGTTTAGCCCTCGTGAATGTATTAATATTTTGACCTGGAACTACTTCTGTCCAGATTGATTCATTCCACTAGGAAGCAAGACTATCAACAGATCATTACTGTAGAATTCAGGTTCTGAAAATGATTGCCTGTATATAAATGCCAACTACTTTTTTTTTTTTAATGTGAGACATCTCATTTCCTGGGTCTTTTATTTTTAAATAATAAAAACATAGGAAAGCTCTCTAATATCAACTCACACTGCTGGATCTATTTAGCTCAATTTTTTTCTCCCTGTTCAATTGTATCTGATACCTGAAGACTGCCTGGGTAAGTCCCTTCAGTTTTCTTGGCAAGAACTGGTTTGCCATTGCCTCCTTCTAGCGCTGAGAGTAACTGACACAAGGTCATCCACTAGCTTTGTGCCTAAGGCAGGAGTAGAACTCAAGGTCTCCTAGTTTCTAGTGTGATGCTTCAACCACTACACCAAACTGGCCTTCAACTACATCAATATTTAAATATAAAAGTAGTAACAACAGTTCAGAAATTCAGCAGTGGTGTCTCCCAATCCCAACAAGCTATTAAGCTTTCTGCATAAAAACAGTTGTTCATCATTAAATTAAGCTCTTTCTTTCATGGCCAATAGTAACTTTAATAAAACTGTTACCAGGAAACCATTCCCGAGATCAGAAGGCAAGATAGTCATTATCTGCAGAGTCCAAAAGTTCAAGAACACATATGCAGCAGGATTAGAAACAGAGCAGATAAATATCCCACCTCTCTGGCAGTTTGGGGCCATGCAAGAAGGTGCCACACAACGTCTTCACATAACTCATGTCAGCATTGGCAAAGTTGTGTCCAGCCTTTAAAAAAAAGTAAAAATAACAATAAAATACCGTATAATCTAGACCTTTCATGCCAAACACAACTATCTTTTACTAATTAAAAACATAACTATACATGTGCCTAAAAATGAACTCATGGTTCCACAATCTGCATACTTATACTATTTCTTTATGGCAGGCAGAGATAAAATATACGTCTGATAAATGCGTCAGTAAATACTGCCTTTACTTGGATGAAAGACTATCTCTCCCTGCCCCTGCTGGTTTACTTTTAATAAATAACACAAGGCAGTGAACATACTTAATATGCCTTTCTCCTATTTTCCCCATGCCCACCACTTATGAGGAGAGTTGGGCTGGGTGACTGGCCTAAAGTCACCCAGCCAGCTTCCATGTCTAAGAAAGATGAGACTAGAACTCAGTTTCCTGGCTTCTAGTCTTCCAGTTTCTGCCTTACCTGCTAGATAGACCAAACTGGCTCTAAATATTAAATCAAATCAAATCTTTATTAAACATTGCTTTCAATTTTTTCCTTAATTAATTTGGGACTTGCCTTAATTTCAGAGTAATCTGTTATTTAATCATTCATTCATTCAATTTCTACAACTGGCCATAACCAATGACTCTGGGCAGCTTACAATTCTAAAACTATAAAAATAATTTAAAAAAGCATTTAAATATATACCAAATAAATATATATACAGCAACTGAGATAATTAACAGTAAAGCCAAAAAAAGGGGTCCTTAATATATTCAGAGCCCTAAACTTAAGTAGATAGCTAAGTTTTTAAAGCAGGGATGTTCAGCCTTGGCAGTTTTAAGACTTATGGACATGGCTGCCCCTGGAATTTTGGGACTTGAAGTCTACAAAGGTTAGATACCCATTTTAAAACCTTATGAAAGGCCCTCCTAATCTCTGAGGGGAGAATATTCAGCAGAGCAGGGACTACTGTGAAAAGGCCCATCTTCTAGTCCCCTGCCAGCTGGCACATTGGAGTCAGGGGGAAATATAGTATTTGCCAGCCAACTTGCAGTTTAAAAATCTTGCTCTAACAAAAGGCTACTGGCCATATAGAAACTGAAGTTTCAAGGCCAAGAGATAGTTTCCTAAGAAGTTGACCACAGAATAGCAACCCAGCAAGCTGCATCTGTACTGTACCAGCTCAACTAGGGTCTTGCTTCTACAACTGTAGGATGGTGAGGGGTGGGGAGTTAATAAAATCGCCCAGAAAGGAAAATGCAACAACTTATCTATTTCATGCTAGGTCAACAAATTGTAAGTGAAATGGCCTTTGTAAGTGAAATCAGTCCATTAATATTAAATTTGCCAAGCTGTAACTCGGAAGACAGACAGCTACCAATTCCCACCACCCTGCATAGCTGGACCTTACCCCAAACTTTACTCACCTTCCATGTGGTATTGAGTTTATTGATATAGTTCACTAAGTCAGGAGAGAGAGGAGGGAAGTATGGAACATTACGGGCACTTGTGAGGACCACAAACAGGCTGAGAATTACCACAGGGCACCACATTTTGATAATGGATGCTTAAAATGCTACCTGGAAAACAGAGATTAATAGCTTACACAGTTGCATTGTTGACAAAATTAGTCCTATACAGAGATCCAAATTTGGAACATGAATAAAGCAGTCATGTTTTTTCCTGGGCTTCTGCAGTTGCCGTCTATGACTGGCAGTTGGTTCTGAGGAAATATATATCTATCTGACTTGATATATTCCTGACAAACACTATGTGCTCTTCAAATCCAGCTCTGTGCAAGCACTGCCATGTCTATATGAACAAGAAAATTGCCAGGTTTTCAGCACAGAATGAACCAATCTATGTCTGTTTGTCTAATGTTATACTCCACAAATACACAAAAGGCTGTGAACTCATGGAAGTGTCCAATTCCAATTCCAATTTACTCTAGAGTTCATAATGAAAGATATCCCACCCCATTTTCAACTGCCAGAAGGTCCAATGCTTTAAATCTGCATCCTAAAAGCTAGGTGGTGGAGGCCCTGTCCTCTCTTCCCCTGGTTCAGATTCAGTATAGAAATTTGGACTGCCCACAAGCTTAGAAAAACACTGTTGAATACAACCCAATGGGAAAAACGTAGCCAAGATGGAAATGCAATATATTTATTTATTTAATTTATATTCTGCCCATCTTCCCAATGTATCAGCTAAACATCCGCACAACCAGGAAATAAAGAATAATTAGACATAAAAGAAAAATTGCTACATTCACTCTTGATATGACTCAGGATAGAGAGAAATGTATACCTATTCCTTTCCAGGGTGAAACTACAGAATTTGAAACAGAATTGTGCAACATATAGCAGCAATTTGATGACACCCGCCCCCGCCCCCCCGGAAATCAATGAGAATGATTTTTACTCCAGGAAGATGGAACATTCACACTATGGCAGTGCACCAAGAACTTACTGAATGTTGCATCTTATTCAAACTGTGAAACCAAACTTGGCATTTTGAGGCTTATAAGTTGCACATACCGGGTCAGTGCACATTGTAAAACTATGACTCATGGTTTTGCACGCCATGAAAGTACAGACATTTGTAGTCTTTCTCAGTAAATAAAGGTTATTTAGGTTATGGCTTTGCATGCTACATATCATGTCTAAATATTGCATTATATAGGTTGTCTTCAACGTACGATCACAATTGAGCCTAAAACTTCTGTTGCTAAGTGAGACATTTGTTAAGTGAATTTTGCCCCATTTTACAACCTTTCTTGCCACAGTTGTTAAGTGAATCACTGCAGTTGTTAAATCAGTAACATGGCTGTTAAGTGAATCAGGCTTCCCCATTGACTTTGCTTGTCAGAAGGTCACAAAAAGGGATCATATGATCCTCGGGACACTGCAACCATCATAAATATGAACCAGTTGCCAAGTTCTGAATTTTGATCACATGACTATGGGGATGCTGCAATGGTCATAAATGTGAAAAATGGCCTTATGTAACTTTTTTCAATGCCGTTGTAACTAAATGAAATGTTGTAAGTCAAGGTCTACCTGAAGCATCAGGGCATTATAAGTATTGCTATATCAGTCTTCACTTGTACAACATATGGTCCAAGTTTTAGCTCTCTCTGAAGTAAGCAGCCTGTTTCAGAAAACAAATACGATTTGGCTGATCCTCAAGCTATTTTAAACAACTCTATTCTGTCCAACACAAAATCTTACTGCTGGGAGAAAAATGTTCCCAATATTTGCCTTTCATTTCTCTTGTAGAATTTCAAACAACTATATCAACTCTTTGATTCAGAAACTTGTCATGAAACCCTCTACCAAATTCCTGCATTTCAAGATATTGCAATTTATTGATTTTGTATCAGCTGATGGGTAACAAACTGGAAAATGCTACAATGCTGCTACAATGCTTACTTCCTTCACTTCTTCTTTTGTAGGTGAAATGCCAATTTCTACTTATTCTTGTTGCTTGAATTCTTTAAAGATAGACCCAATGATTCAAAACACAATGAAGTGGGTGTTGAGGAGAGGGAACATGAAAGGAAACTAGATGCTATTGTAAGCCCTTTAACTTGTTAAAAACAGCAGAAAATGGGCCTAACAATTCTGCAAACTATTACAGAATCCCTACTGTTGTATTTATTTTACCTCAAAAAAAGAAAGGGGGGGAGGGAAATGCCACCTGTTTCTTGCCAACTGTAATCAGACATGGCTCCATGCACCAATTATGGCATGCAACGCATTCATCACTGTAGTACACTTACTTACTGAAAGATCATTAGGGCAGAGAACCGGTTGTTAAATTACTTGAATCCCACCACTGCACCTAACTCAATTTCCCTTTATTTCCCCATTCAGTAGGACATCCATAACTTCTACATATTCTAGCGTCCACAAAATTCCCACCGGGAATTAAAAACTTGGCTTTTCAAATCCCTTGACCTGGTCTGATGATGGGGTTTTAAGGGTTTTAATGGGTTAATTTTAAATTTTTTAGATTTTAGTCTTTATTTTTATTGTGGCTTGTGTTTTATTGTTGTGAGCCACCCTGAGTCCATTGTGAGATAGGACGGCATATAAGCCGAATAAAATAAAATAAATAAATAAATAAAAACTGAAAAATATAGAAGTAATTATTTATTTTAAAGCAATAACACATTTGCATAAATTAATAGGAAATTACTTCAACAAGGAACTTTTGTTGAAACATCCATCCAGCCTGTCTTCCTGTTGTTGTTGAGCCTCTTGTTTTAGGGAAATTGCATTAGAATGTGTTTACATGGCAAAGCACCAATTCCATTTCTAATTCAAGTCTCTATAGAAAAGCAAAACACAAGAGTCTCTTTCTGTTATCAGAGTCATCCTAAGGACTTTTCCTTTTACTACTTGCTACTTGCACCTAACCAAAACACAAGCATGCCTGAGCAGCTTTTTTCCCTGCACATCCATCTGGCATTGCCCATCTAATCCTTAACTCACACTTGAAGGGTTAAGTTGCTCCAGTGTTGAAGTAATATTACCCACTGTTCTCCTAATAGTGTTTACACCTAATACAAACTGACACACTTCTCTGCTTTGTCAACAGCAGTCAGATGATCCCTAGATGGGGTGGTGGAATCAATCCAACTTCCAATTAGCAGTCCTTAGGGCAGGAAACTCTTGTAAACCAGACTCACTCTTTGCACCAAATCTGACTCAGAAATAAACTGAACAGTAGCTGACCAGCCCTCACCCTTTGGTTACTCTACGGCCAGGTCTCCCTCCCCCAACTGAGCTGGTCAGCTGATGTATGGTTTCACATTGGCTGGTAGCACTTGATGGGAGGGAAGGAGAGGGAAGCAAAGCCATGGCGTCCATTTATGGTTTTTTTAAATCTGTTCTGCACATATAGTAAATAAGGATGATCCCATTGGCACCAAGCAGGATAAGTGAGGAAGCAAATTCTCCCCCCAATATAGTTTTCTGCCAGTTTAAGGATGCATGAAAGCTTCCCCACAACTGACAAATGGGGTCAGTTCTTTCTGAAATACCATGAAGAAGTGATGCAATCTCCCCTTCCCCCTTTGTACTTCTGATCCCCCAAAAATCCAGAACCTTTTGGATAAATGAGGCATCTTACATTTTTCAGCTAATTCAATGTAAGCTACTTTACCAGCATATAAATGTCACTGGGGATTTCCTTACAAGTAATCTTGGCTGGTTTTGATTTCAATTTTGAGTCCATCATAGCAATGAACTTGTTCCTCATCCATTCCCCACACCCAATTACTGTGCTGATTTGGGACTACAGGAGTTCTACTCCCATCTGAAGAGGTCAGGATGGGGGATGGTTATCCTGAACTGAAATCCTTTCCATGAGTCAATCCATATGGTTGAAATAATCTGAATAGGGTAGAAAGGAAGCAACTTCAAAGCTCACACCCACAAACATAAACCCACAGCCAAGGCCCATGATGAAGTGGAATCTGGGGCAAAATTGGTGGGCAACTATGCAAAATCCCCCCCCTTCACAAAAACAGGCTGTTTCCAAGATTCTGACCATGATTTTGCAAGATCCACAATCGATCTCATCCGCAGTTCAACCAGACTCTTTCGTCACAGCTGGCTTAGGAGCAGGAAATCTTTTCGTAATTCCTCTGTTTCTCTTTAAGCAGAAATCAAAGAACTTCCTTTTCGAGCAAATCACCCAGAAAATAGCTCTATTCGGGCAAAGACAGCTATTCATTTTTAGCCGCGAGTGTCGTGCAAACCAAAGTCCTCTTAGCGGAGTCGATGGTGAGAATAATAACAACTATTTTTAAAAGTCAAGGGAAACGTGACATGCGCAGCCGGCCCATCCCTTTGGCCACCTTTGAAAAATCAGCGTCGACAACGACTGGCTCTGGATGACAACGGGCTCCATCCCCCCCCCAATTTATCTAAGGGGCAGATTGGTGTGGTGGGGGGGGGAGCCACCGAATCGGCTGTGCCCTCTCTCTCTTTCCTAAAAGTGTGAGACCCTTAGCTCCCGTTTAACCTTGGATTACGGTTTCCCGTAAAAACAAAGCCCTTCCTTACCTGAAGCAGCACTGGCGGAGTCACCAAAGGCCTCAGCAGCTCGCCCGCCGGCTCTGCCCGCCTTATCTACGGTCCCCAACCACCACCCCGAAAGCCGCGTCTCCGCAGCCCTGCCCTCCGCCGCTCCTCCCCGCGCTGACTCACCCCACGTGGCCGCTCCGCTCCGCCAGCTGCAACCGCAGCGCCTGATCCCGGGGCACGTGATTCCCTCCCACTCCCCTGAATCACCTGATCCGTTTCCCCCAGCAAATCTGTTTTCGGGTGGTTCGCCGGGGGTGGGGTGGAGCGGAGGGGAGGGTGGGGGTGGACGACCGTGGTGCTTTCCACCTTGCCATGGTTGGGACCGATGCAAATCTAGAGGTCAGTCCCGTTGCCCTGGGCAGGGCGTCCCGGTATGCGGCGGCTGAGATCGGGCTCCGGTTTACTCGGAAGCAAAGCTCTTCCTGCAGTTTCAGGCTTTCTGGTTTTCTCTGCGTTTTGCGATCCTCTCGACGTTTGCACGGGAATAAAAGACGGCCTAGGATTTTTAGTGTCTCTTTTTTTAAAAAAAAAACAAAACCCAAGAGTGAGCCGATTTGCAATTTTGGGATTTTTTAGGGGGGAAAAAACCCAATTTTGTCCCGATGCTTACCTAACCTTTCGGGATTTGTGGATTTTCCCTTTTAAGTGGCAGCGACAAATATGTACGACCACCAGAAGCGCTGTCTGATTTCTGCCAAATGTTGCCGTGTTGCCAAAAGTCGCAGCCCACAGGCACTCGGTATTGTAAGCATCCCAACGAACGTTTTTCAAAAACCTCTTAATGAAAAGAAGGCAAGAAAAACCCCACGTGTGTGATGCAGCCCCATCAATTCCATCCTATGGCTCCAATCCCTGCATTTCTTGAAAACCCCGTTCCTCCAAGACTGCTTCGATAAATACACGGTGTTACCTTCCTGAAAAAAATACATAAACTTTCTTGTTTGTTTGTACTATATATATATATTTTCCCAGGAATCATTTGTTTCCTGAATTTTCTTTCTTTTGTCAAAGTGCAATTGTAAGCAGATTAGTTTAGACATAGTAGCAGTTAAATTTAACCTACCGTAATATATAAAGGAGAATATTTGTAGCTCAGGGTTGAAAGGAGGGGTCCTTGGTGCTCTCTAACCTTGGTTGTTGTCTTGCAGACATTTCATTACCCAAACTAGATTGGGAATTGCAAGGTCTGCAAGAAAACAACCAAGGGTAAAGAGCACCAAGGACTCTCATAGTAATATATTCCCAGGTAAACATGGCTGGAACTACCTTTTTAGTTTCACAACAACCTTATAAAATTGGGGTGTGAGGCAATGGTTTTCTAAAGTAAATGTCTATGGAGATTCTCAGTCATCCAGGTCATGATTGTTCCAAAGGTGCTTTTTCAACAGGCAAGTGGACTTTCTGGTTTTTCTCTGAAGACGTTTCACTTCTCATCCAAGAGGCTGAATGGATGAGAAGTGAAACGTCTTCAGAGAAAAACCAGAAAGTCCACTTGCCTGTTGAAAAAGCACCTTTGGGACTTTCTAAGGCAGGGGTGTCAAACTCAATTTCATTGAGGGCCGCATCAAGGTTGTGTTTGACCTTGGGGGGCCAGGGTGGGCGTGTCCAGTTCGATAATCACTCGAGTCGGGAGTGCCTGTGGTGGCCCAAGCGCTCTGCCAGCGAAAACTGGCTCTCGAGCTCCGTTTCGGCTGTGACAGCCTCCTGCAACCCTCTGCCAGCGAAAATGGCTCCGTTTTCACTGGCAGAGGCACTGCGGGCTGGTCCTTCACTGTTTTCAGGGTGGCCCCATGGGCCAAATCTGGCCCCTGGGCCTTGAATTTGACATCCCTGTTCTAAGGTAATCCTGTCTGTTGTCAGCTGAATAGAGAATTGGATCCTGGATTTTTTGAATTCTGTTGGAGGGTTTCTAAATCTGTGTCCATTACTTACTTTTGAGTCCATAGGCCCTCCTTATTAAAACTAACCAAAATGTCAAAAAGAAAATAGAAAAGAAAAGAAAAAGAAAAGTCCCTAACTACTCAGAGCTTTCTTCGTCAGTCTGGATGTTTTCCAACCACAGTTTGTATCACTGCTAAGTGAAGCTTTCCTTGCACAATTTCCTTGTCAGAGATCTGAGATTTTACAAGGACCTAAACAAAAGCTTCTATTGCAACCATGTTTTTTGGGAAGGAAAACCTGGGAAGTGTACAATATTTTGAAAATATAAGGAGCAGTTTTCTATACTTCGGCCTATTCTGCCTAGTCAAGGAGAATCTGTAATTCTATTTAAGGCTAGAACAAAATTGCCCTGCCTGAGATTCCAGGGGTCTCCTAAAGAAGCCACATTTAAAATTAAGATACATGGAAGGAATTATTAAATGCAAGGGACAATAATTAAAATAACTATTAAATTCATTTTAAATTAAAACAGACTTACATTCGTTTTTAATCTAGCTACAACCACTTCTATATTCTGGCTCCTCGTAGTTTTTGGAGTGTGGTCGCTGGCTTGTTAATTAACAGATAAGTGAAATGCTCCCAGATTATTACTTAAAAAAAAAAAGTCAGATATTATTCCTTTGTCCCAAAATCTTAGGTGTAAATTTGATGCCTACAAAAAGCCTGTACACATTTATTCAGCCTGTCATCTGCATCTGGCTATAGGTTTAGGGAACTTCAAGCAATGCCTGCTCACCAGCCTGGTTAATGTATCCTGTTGTGCCATTCAATACTTAGGTCTGCTTTTAGTTTACATAATGTGTTGAACTACAAGGACACTCTGGCTTTGTTCAATCAATGACCTTTTTTTTTTACTATACAAAAGCTGTGTGTAAATATACTATCTTTTTGATGATACTTCAGCTGGGTCTGAGGAAAAACATGATTGAATATTTTGTAATATTATCTCCCAGTCCATTGCCTGATGCCTCTTCTACTGTTAAGATCCAGATTCAATCAATTCTGCCTTTGTTTTGATTGGGAATTACTTCATTCTTTTTTTTAAAAAAAATGCTATTGTGTTGCTTGGTTTCTTCTTATCTTCTTCTTTTTCTTCTTATACTTTTACAATGTCAGCCACCTTGTGAGGCAGCATATCTTTTAAACATATAAGTCAAAGGGCACATGACTCAAGATCCCTGACTTTGATTATGATTCCCCAGAGGCTGAACCAACCAGAACTTTGCTAAAGAGCTGTAATGTTTAATATGACTGAAATAAAAGTATATTAAACACAGTTTAATTGTTTAACTGGGAATAATCATGTGAATTGTATTTTGTTGAATTTAAATGGAACTAAATAAAAAAAATGTACTGATTTTTTGTTCTTATTACAAATTTTGTAATAAGGTCACCAGCATGCCTGTCAAAATCCAGGTGCAGCCAGAGTCTTGAAGAAGTGCATCTTTTAAAATGAAATACGGTTTAATTCTAAATAGAAGTTTGGATAATAATGGTATTAAGTCACAGTTTGATTTATTTAGATCTAGCTTAGCAACTCATATCAACTTGTCAAATTCTAACTTTACAATGTGGAGGGTAATGAATTAAAGTTTAGGATTTTATATAAAGCCAGCCAATTGTGGTTTATTCAGATGAGGAACATCATGGCTTCACACAATATCAAAAGCTAAGTTTAGTATATGGGAACTCATTGGCATGATTTCATGAGGAATGGCTGATAGGTTGCTTTTTGAACTCCTAACAGAAAACAAATTATGTTTTGGTTGCTTGCAAAGCTGTTTCCCACGAGAAGGCAAAGTTAATCCAAACTTTTTAAAAAGTATTGCATCTTTTACCCCATATACTGTATATATGTCAATAGGTACATGTTCTGAGCAGGGTCTCATCTTTTATCTATTTGGTTTTGGCTTAGCGTATTATGTGAACCCAGGTATTCTTGGGTTATGTGACCAAAGAAATCAAGGCCTTATCTGCACTTGTAGTATCCTGTGGCATCATCTAACCATAACATGAATAAAAGAGACTTTATTCTGCCACATTTGATGGGTGACACTTTCTGCTCTCCTCAGTGTGCTTTCCTCCCATCTTTGAGATGAGACAGTGATATAAGCAGCACTGAATCCATAACCTACATTTTTCTGCTGCTGTTGTGATCCTCACTCCATATAATGTGGAGTAGCTTCAAGGCAATAATTTGTGGTTTCCCTCCCATCCTTGTCATCTATTTGTGGAAAGATGAATAGCCAATCACTCCCTGACTGAATGTGGAGTTGGGTTGGCTGTTCATCATCATTATTTTTTGCCTTTGTTTGCAACTAGACTTTGCAACTAGATAGATTGTTGTCTTCAGCTTTGCTGGAAAGGGAGGCTTACAGCCTCTGAACTGATGGACCCACATACCACATGGTGAGCTGGTGAGCTATCTCTCTGAATATCTTCTTCTCCAAGGGAAAAAGCAGCTCCCTTGGTGGAGTGTTTCCCCATCCTCAGGCTAGTCCTAGACTGGGAAATAAATAGTCCCTTCATTTCCTCCAGGGTCTGGAAATTGTATCATATTTTTAAAGGTCTAGTTTTCTAAGAACGTCATCTTCTTTTAAAATTCTATTCTGTGATTTTTCAGTCCCAGAAGAATAGAATTGTCATGGTGAAAGTAACAATGTGTGAACGATGGGGGAGCCTTGGTCACATGGAGCCTTTGACAGTTCCCTCAATTGTCAAAAGTCTTGCCTTTGTCAAATGATTGGTAGAGTTGTCTTCTCACTGCAGCAAGCCAGATGTGTGGGTGAGCCCTTAATGGACGCTGTCCAGCCTTTCCTAACAGCGGGTATATTTGGGATTTGAGGAGTTTGTGGTGGATACTTTAGGCAGAGGGGTGGCCAATTGAGAAAACATGGCTAGAAAGTGAGGTGGGGGGCATTCCTTGGGAAATCTAGTCTTTTGTATGAACCAGGCCCATTTTCTTAGTTTGCTTTGGAGTCATTTCCCCTGGAAGAGTGAAAAATTTCCATACTGTTCATATTGTGTTGCCAACTTTTATGAACTCCTGGACTATGGCTAACAATTGTCCAATATATAAGAATGTAAATTGGATCCTAAGTATCAAAAATGGTCTGTGATTTCACTGGATAAAATGAAGGAGATTAGCCTGCAGTAAGACTACAGG